AGATATGCTTTGATTATGCCTTATCATAAGCCTTAACAGTAGGAAATAAACAAAGCACCATTAGCATATGTAAGGAAACACTTATTAAAGAGGGAGGGAGAAAACTATATCTAGGGCTGACATATCTAACACTCCTTGCAGCATCCAAATTCTCCTCTCTTCTTGAGGCTATTGCACCCCAGATGTCCCCTGCCGAAGCAGCTCTTAGGGGTGCACTTTCCTTTATGCGGGGGGGAGGGGTAGTGTCTGCAAACTTGGCATCTTTAAGACTTATGGAATTCAACTCCCAGAATGGCTGACTGAGGAATTCCGGTAGTTAAAGTCCATCAGCCTTAAAGTTTGGAGACCCTTGCTTTAGGCAGGGGGTCTGCAACCCTGACAACTTTAAGACTTGTGGACTTCAGCTGCCAGAATTCCTCAGTCAAGCATGCTTTCAACCTTGGCAACTTTAAGACTTGTGGACTTCAACTCCCAGAATTCCTCAGCTGGCTAAGGAATTCTGGGAGTTGAAGTCCACAAGTCTTAAAGTTGCCAAGGTTGAGAACCCCTGCTTTAGGCGAAATCCCACCTGCGGCCACGTTGGGGGGGGGGGAACTTGCTTAGTCCCTTTCCCATGGCGAGATTATCTTCTTGCCTTGAGCCACCCTGCGTGGCTTTCGAAGCAACGTTTTTCGTGGCTTGCCAAACCCGAACACATCGGTGCGAATTCTGACTCCATGCAACGCCGGAGCAAAGGAGCTCGGGCGCATTTTGATGCCAGAAAAAGCCTTCAGCGATGTCTCTGGCCCGAACAGTTTAGGTAACAGCGGCCCGGCTGGGTGCAAACACCACACAGCCACAACCCCATAGCCTTTCCCCTACAGTAGATCGACCCCAAAGCTCTGGCCATGCCCCCCACTGCCCCCGCAGGAGGGAAGGCAAGGCAAGCGCTCCCAGCCTCCAGCATTCAACGAGACAGCTAAGGGGGGAAATGCAGCCTGCTTAAATCTTTAAATTGCGGGGCTGGAGGATCCTGCAAGAAATCCCCCTCTGCCCCTTTTAAATAAAAAAAACAAGGCAACTGACATACTTACATGGATGCAAGACTCGACTCGCAGCTCGGAAGGCAGCAGCCATATTTGTGTAAACTCAATAGATTCCCCTCCTGCACGGCAGCCCCAGGGCACAGCTTCTTTCCAAAGGGAACCGGATTGCTCCGTTGCATCCCTTCTCTGAAGTCTCTTAGGCTCTGCCGGGCACGTTAGTTCCCCTCGGCGAACCAGCGGAGGGGGCGGAGCTTTCAAAGAGAAAAGGCAGCCCCACCGCCTTCTCTCTCTCTCGGTGGTTGCCGGAAGACAAAAAGAGGGCGGAGTCACGTGGTAAAGCTGTGAGTCAATGAGCGGCCCGAATGACTCAGCATTTAGGGTTCGCGTGGAACTAGCTGAGGGGGATATGGTTGATCGGGCATCTGAGCCTCTCAACAAGCGTGCCGGGGTTTGGGGGGGAGAGGGCGAAGTACTTTAGTATGAGGATGAGAGACCACTAGGAAGTCCATCACTGGATTAGGTAGACGAAAAGCACCCACTAAAAAGCCAGATGGCCATTTGAGAGTGGCAAAGAGATACAGAAGTCTCAAAATTCCTGCCAGGTAGTGGCGGTAGAGATCTTTTCAGCTTGGCAGCTCTAATTGCAAAAGTTTCATTGTCCAGTAATCCTTACAAGCGGAGCTTAAATAAGGAAGGGAGCCTGCTTGATGCAGCAGGTGCAGAAGCTGCATTGAGATCCATTGATAGATGCAGATTTGCTAGATATTTATAGAGTTCCAGATGCAGCAGTGTTTGTGCTCCCAACATCAAATCACGAACCTGGTGTGGGCAACCAGCGGCGCTAAAGTTAGATACAACCCCGGAAATGTATTTTTGCAGCCCGTGATTATTTAAAACTGTAGTATAACCAGGGCTTTTTTTCTCATAGAACGCCCAGAACGGAGTTCCACCACCTTTTTTCCCACTTAGGACTTGTAGAGTAGGCAAAGCAAATTGTATGACATGCATGAGTTCCGGCAGCTTTTTTTTTTTTTTTTTAGAAAAAAAACACTGAGTATAACCCTCCAAACAGAGATCTCAAAGCAGAAACATTGGTGGTTTATCTTCGCCTGAACTCTTCATCCAGTTGGATGAATTGCCTTTTTTTTTTGAAGGTGTAGATAGGAATAATATACTTTGCTGTGAGGTTTATGATGTCCTCGCCCTATCAGTAGCTGCCTTGAAAGTTCTGTTGCAATGGAAATATAAGATAAAATGCAAAAAGTGCAAGACTTTGTTGCAAAAGGCTTATCCAAAGACCACCCAATATTTAGTGGGTTTATTAGCTCCCTCAGAACAATTTAATAAGGTTCCGTATTGTCAAGGTTTGTCTGAACGATTATTGTCAGTAGCAGAGAACAGGACATTTTTGTTACTGTGAATAGCAAGATGGTGGCATATAAATTAAATAAATAAATGCCAGATCTTTACAGCATTTTTCATTGTTGACAAGGATAGCTTTTTGTATTGGATGCTGCAGACATAAAACAGGCAGTCCCACTTTTACTCCAGGAAACACTTGAGGGACTATGTATAGCAACATCTATAAACACTTCATACATTTTATTCATGAGCAAATATTGTAAAATGTACTGTATTAGGAATGGAACTGCCAAGTTCTTATATATTTAAGGAAAATTTGTACAGGTAGCCCTTGACTTACAACAGTTCATTTAGTGACGGTTCAAAGTTACAACTGCCCTGAGAAAATTGAATTATGGCCAGTTTTCACACTTAACGACTGTTGTAGCATCCTCAGGAGATGTGATCAAAATTCAGAAATTTGGCCATTGACTCATATTTATGATGGTTGCAATGTCCTAGGGGCAGTGTTTCCCAAATTTGACAATTTTAAGGCATGAGGACTTCAACTCCCAGAATTCCACAGCCAGCAACGCTGGCTGTGGAATTCTTGGAGTTGAAGTCCACATGCCTTAAAATTGTCAAGTTTGGGAAACACTGTCCTAGGGTCATGTGATCCCCTTTTGCAACCTTCTGACAAGCAAAGTCAAGGGGAAAGCCAGATTCACTTAATAACAATTTGACTACTTTAACGACTGCAGTGATCCACTTAACAACTATGGCAAGAAAGGTCGTAAAATGGGGCAAACTCACTTAACAAATGTTTCACTTCACAAACAGAAATTTTGGGCTCAATTGCACGTTGAGGACTACCTGAGACTGTAGTTCCTCATAGCAGAGAAAAACAAAATGGCCTAGATGAATGAACCAGGCTGAAGAAAATCAGTGTTAAGTATTGTACAGGTAATTGTCAATTTATAATCACAACTGGGATCAGAATTTCCATTGCTAAGGAAATTCCCACAGAGGAAGAGTTAATACATAAAATATTAGCGTGCAGAAATGGACAGGCTCACAATATTAAAAGACAAATGTGGATCAGTTTATTTTGAAACCTGGGATAAATTTTACCGCTGGAGGAATTCGAAGAGGACGGTTGGGATTAAAGATGAATGTTAAGATAGCAATGTATGTTATTTTAGAATAAGTATTGTATATAAAACTTAAATGTATATGTAGAGATGAAGAATTGATTGCAAAATGTGGAATAATCTGATAAGAATGTATATACTGGAATGTCACGTTAAAGCCAATGTTTTTTTTTAAACTGTATTATAAATAAAATTTGAAAAAAAAAATTCCATTGCTAAACAAGGCCAATAAAGCTAAAGTAAGTGCCAGACAATTTCATGACCTGCTTTGCATGGTTACTAAGAGAATCACTGAGGCTGTTAAGTGAATCCAACTCCCACCCCCCCACCCCGATTTTTCTTGTCAAAAGCCAGCTGGGAACCATGCAAACAGCAATCACATGACCCCAGAACTCTGCAATCATCATAAATACATGCTGGTTGCCAAGCGCCTAAATTTTGGGCACCTGACTGTGGAGATAATGCAATGGTTTAAATGTGAGTACCAGTTGTAACTTTTTTCAGTGCTGTTTTAACTTCAAGCAGCTGCTAAACAAATGGTTGTAAGCAGTGGTGGGATTCAAATATGTGAACAACCGGTTCTGTGTGTGGATGCCGCTTCCGGAAGTCCATTCTGGGCCTGGGCAACAAAAAATTAACCACCAGTTCTGCTGAAGTGGTGCGATCCGGCTAAATCCCACTACTGGTTGTAAGTCAAGAATGTTTTTAAAAATTTTATATACGTATACTTGCCTTTAAAAAAGAAAATTTTGATTCTGTCCTACCACTTGTTTGAAAGACAATGGTTTCAAATAATTGGATTATTTTTAATCATTATTTTTCATTGCTCATCACTTTCCTTATGTTCTACGCCTACTGGACTCTGGATCTTACACAATCACAATTTCATGACTCGTTTCTTTGACCTACTCTGGGAATCCTTTTGGCTAATAGGTAGGAAGACTGCCATTTCAAATACATGAAAAAAAACTGCTTGCTCAAACTTGGGCTGGCATGGAAATTGAGATGTCATCATGAATTGCCCTACTGCAATTCCTTTGCCCATCTTGTGGTCAGGCCAATATGGCTGCGAAGGAGTGAAAGGACACCAAGTCTCAGAGGCCAGATGCCTTTTTCCATCTCTTCTTTCTGAAATCCCATTAGTTGCTCCTGCCCTTTGGAACGTCTTGCCACAGGAGATAAGATCCTCTCTATAGGAGCCTTCAGGAAAGGCCTTAAAACCTGGCTATGCCAGCCGGATCCTGAAGGAGAAGCTGTTGGCTGGAAGTGATCGGTACTAACAGAGAAGGCAATCCACCTCTTTCCTCCAAAACCCTTGTTTTTTAGTTTATTTTTTATAATTTTAATCCATTTTTTATTTTATAATTGTGAATGCTTATTTTTTCTTGATGTAGTAAGCTGCTCAAAACTGCCTGAGATGGGCAGTAAATAAATTTGATAGACATTTTAAGAAATGGCAAAATGAAGACAAATGGGACAGTGATGTGGAATACTTTTGTCCCTCCAATGCTCTGAATTTATTGATTGCTGCTCTTGAAATGGGAACAGACACGGCAGTTAACAGAAATGTGTAAAGTTGAGATAAAATGTACATCAAAGAATTCTGCCAGAGCTGGAAATCCAGAATCTCCTATGTCCCTTTTACATTTTTTTCCTAATTGTTTTGGTGGCTCAAAGGCAGTTTACATTTCAACTATGTCAGTAAAGACATTTATAGGAAAGTTAAACACAACTCGGCCCAGATACTTGCAGACTAGGAAATATCAAGAGTGTAGTAATATATTCAGCTTTTTTCAATGCCAGCTCTGCTGGGAGGAATAAAGACATCAAGTATTTTTCTGAACCAACCATTTAACATAACCCATATACACAGATCTTGAAATGCAAGCTAATTAACCGTAAAATACAGAAAGCTTTCTCATGAGAAATGATGGAACTTAAATAGTAGTCATCCTTATGAAAGCACTGAATGCTATTAAGATAGCTCAGAAGACTGTTTCTAAGATCCTAAAGTAATGGGTCAAAACTGGGCTAGAATTGTCCTTTTTTCCCCTGGATTTTTCTTTATTTTTAAAAACCATTTTATTTGCCGGCAACTCACATTTGCTATCCGTATTGGCAAAGTCTACCTCCCAATGTTGAATAGTTCATTTTCCCTAAATCTGAAATCAAATCCTAAATCCAGCTCCTACTAAAAATTATGAGATGCTTTGCATTTTTGCTTTATAGTTTTCCGAGAGCCCAGGTCTATAAAGTGTTGTTACAGATTGTATGACCTTACAGTACAGCCCACAGCTAGCTTCCACTGGCAATCAATGTTTTTTAAATATGCTAAAAGAATACATGAGAATGAAACCAGGTTGAGCCCAAGAAAGGGGAAGACACTTCTGGAATCAGCATACTGGAATTTAAATTCCAGTTCAAAGCAATTATAAATTCATTTGAAAAAAAAAACATTTGCAGGTATTTGTGGGATGAAGACATGAAATTATGAGGAGAAAACTGATTTAAGGTTGGATAGACTTTGTCCATCAAGAAACTCTGGATTAGGGTTTGCATCGCTGAACGAAGCGAGGGTATAGGCATACGTCTCGGATATGGTGTCTGTTCAGAATCCAGGTGAGGAATCGCTCCAGGCCTAATCCATAACCACCATGAGGACATGTGCCATATTTACGCTGCAAAGCCAAAAATGAGAGAGGTATCAGTAAATACCTAACAAATAAGCCACCTTGCAATCCCAAACCTAGATCTGTGACTTAATAGTGCACATTTACATGTCATGGTAAACCAATGTCATTTGTCTGGGTTTTGCTTATGAAGCCATCCCTTCTCCATTTCTAAGACATAATTCCTATCTTAACGCTGTGCAAATCGGATACCTTAGGCCAGGGGTGTCAAATTTGCCATGCCACGTGACATGTCGTGACATATCATGTCTTTTTTCCCATTGCCGGAGCTGGGGCGGCCGTGGCTTCCGTGTGACACATCTGGCCCGCGGGCCAGCAGTTTGACACCCCGACCTTAGATTATTTAACACTTAGTGGCTGGGGGACAAATTAACCATCAGTACTTATACTGGCATTCCCATTCTTCTTCCGAAGTGTTGATTCAATTGTCACATAAGCCTGTGTTGTGGATTAGTTTGAAAAAATGTGTTGCCATTTTCTGGCTGGTATCAGGGAAGTTTGTGCTGAAGAGTAGGGGCTGGAGAAAGGCTGCCATTTTGGAGCCTTGCTCCAATTTGGAGACACTGTCTGGGTTAGTGGCTGTGGACTAAGAAAACCTGTTAGGCATAAAAAACAGTTGGGTTACCTTGGGCCAATCACTCTCAGACCAACCCACCTCACAGGGTTATTGTTGGGGAACTAGGAGGAGGAGGAAGGAGTATTAGATATGTTTACCTCCTTGAGTTACTTATATAAAGTGTTAAAGGGTGGATAAAAATCGGATGGATGGATAGACAGACAGGTAAGCTGTCTGCTCATATAGACCCATTGCATGTATTCCAAAAGGCTTGCCCCTTAGATAACATCTGATTATTTAAAACGTCTCATGCAAGCAATGGCTTCTGAGTGGTCTCTTATGGATGCAAACCTTTTAGACATTTCATAATCCTTGGGCCAAAGTCCAAAGAAGACATTACACCATTCATACAACTATTGCTCGAATATATTTTTAAAGTAAATTATCAGCTGGGGAGAGGATCTCCCTGATTAGCAGGGAGAAAACAGATGCATGAAATCTCATCACTGTAGATAGGCTTTTTCCCATAACCTGCCAAACCCCCCCCCCAATCTTAAATCCCTTTCCCTTTGTAATAAGAAACCATCTAACTATCAGGCTATATCGTATATAGGGGAGCAGAACTTAAGACAAATGAAAATGCAGTTTTGAAGCTTGAAGCACATTATGGTACTTTCATGCTGAACAATGATTTTTGCTTTAAAGCTAAAGTACCGTATATGCCGGCATACAAGGCGACCTGGCGTATAAGACGACCCCCGTCTTTGTCGCCGAGCCGCATTCCTAGAACGTCGTCTTATACGCCGGAAACTACCAGTATTTCCGGCGTATAAGATGACTCGGCGTATAAGACGACCCCCGTCTTTGGCGCCGATTTTAGCGCTTGCAGAAGTCGCCTTGTATGCCGGCATATACGGTAGTCCCTGCAAAACCTACTCAGAACCTTCTGAATGTTCACTGGCAGTTCCCTCCCTCCCATCCAGGACATAGCACAGAAGCGTTGTTTGAGCAGGGTCCGTAAGATTATCTGGGACGCTACACATCCTCTCCATGACCTGTTTTCCTGGTTATCTTCTAGGAGGAGGCTTTGTGGTATCCGAAGCAGAACATCCAGATTCAACCAGAGTTTCATTCCATACAGCATTAACCTTGTGAACTCTCAAGCTTCCTCCTTCCATTATATATTCAAAACGGACAATATTTAATATTTAATGCTACGTATATGTAGGGATGTGGGTCTATACATACGTTGTTCATAGTATGTTTAGGTGTGTGTCATGTATGTTTCACTTTGAGAGTGGGCAACTAAATTTCATTTTTGATGTGTGCCATTGTGCCCACAGTATAAAAATGACAATAAAGGTTATCTTATTGAAATAACATTAATGATTATTGATAGGTTTTATCCCCATGTATTTAATGATAGGCATTAAATACATGGGGATATTTTTTCAGATTGATAATTGCAATGTGCTGGAAATTTGGGCAGCCTCTCCAGGTCTGTTCCAAACGATTTCTGGGGCCTGTTTAAGCATTTTCTACACTAATTGGTCCACCAAAGCCTGGATTAGATTTGTTCTTTGGTTTGCCTTCCAAGATTACAGTGTTCCTGCCACATGGTAAATGAATGGTAGACATGCCACCAACTCACAACACCTAATACGTACCTGGTCTGTATACCAATAATAAGGGGTGGGATCAATTCCTTCTCTCTTGTAACCTTCCAGTAGCTCCTCACTGTCCCAAATACGCATGGAGCCTCCCACAATTTCACCAACATTAGGCATCAATACATCAACCTAAAAATCAAGACCAAAGAAACCAGCGAGAGTCAGAAGATGAGTATGACTTAACTTGGTTTAGAGTAGGTCTTTCCGAATTGCAACTCCTAGTCCACAACTTTTCAAAGAACTTTATTGTAGGCCACTTAGAAGAGATGGGATGCCAAGCAGAAGGTGCTGGTTGTATCATGCATGGCCCAAGGATCAAACAGGACTAATGTAAGCGTTCAGCGAGGTTTTTCCGCTTTCCTTCCCCCGTCAAATAATCAGATGGGACTGTAGGTGGACTGTCCATAAGAACATCTAGTCAAATATTATAAACGTTATCTCCTGTGAATTGTAGGCCTGAGTAACATCTTGTGGTCAATGACCTGTAAAATAGCCTTCCGGGAACAATATCCAAAACTTTTAATCACAGGGTTGGTGCCCCCCCAATTTTTCAGGCTGAAAGGAGTCCTGGAGGGTAAAATTTAATGACGTAGAAATGCTCTCTCCAAGTTAGGAATGGTGCATTTCAATCCTAGAATGTTCTTTTTAGCCCTTTCGTTACACGTTATTACAAACATGTGTAGAGCTTTCCTCCTCAACCACATGCCTAAGGATGATTCTAAATCATTCAGGTCATGATTGTTCCAAAGGTGATTTTCAAAAGGCAACTGGGCTTTCTTTCCTTTTTTCCCTTTGAAAATGTTTCGCTTCTCATCCAAGAAGTTTCCTCAGTTCTAGATCCGAGGAAGCTTCTTGGATGAGAAGCAAAATATTTTCATGGAAAACAAAAACAAACTCAAGACTGTTCAGTTGCCTTTTGAAAAGCATCTTTGGGGCTCCTCAACCACAATTTAGCTTTCGGCATGGGTTTAGACATCACATTAGACCAATCACATTATGCCTTAATCCAGGGGTAGGCAACCTTGGCTCTTTTATGACTCGTGAACTTCAGCTCCCAGAATTCCTGAGCCAGCATGGCTCAGCTTGGAAACCTCTCCCTTTCCCCTCAGCATGGCTGGCTCAGGAATTCTGGGAGTTGAAGTCCACGAGTCATAAAAGAGCCAAGGTTGCCTACCCCTGCCTTAACCAAACAGTCACTGACTTGGGATTCATCTAACTTTACACAGGATTACCCAAGATTGAACAGCATACCCTTTTGGGTGTCATATGAAACACAAGTTTTAAATACCTCCAACCTATACATTCCAAATGTATAGGATAGCGATTTCCTAAAGATTCTCAATCATCCAAGTCATTGGTGTCCCAAAGGTGATTTTCCAAAAGACAACTGGACTTTTTGGGGGTTTTTTCCCCTTGAAAACATTTTGCTTCTCATCCAAGAAACTTCTTTAGTTCTTGGATGAGAAGCAAAACATTTTCTGGGGGAAAAAAACCCAAGAAGTCCAGTTGCCCTTTGAAAAGCAGCTTTGGGACAATCCAGGAGAATTCTGCAGGTATATGGATGGTGCAAAATGACAGCAGAGCATTGCACCATTAGCCCTGCCCCATGAGCTTATGAAACAATGCTCTTCCATTATTTTGATGAAAGCAGCAATGCTCTGCACATACTTGGGAGTCAAGTATTGCTTCATTTTTTTTAAATCCTGTTTTTGAATAGGTTTCAAGACCTTGGTAACCAGACGGGGAATTTAGACTCCATAGTAGGAAGTCGAGCAAGTCCCCCTCCCCACACCAATATCTTGCATGCAGTACACAAAAGGGAACACAAACTGACAGATTCAGTAAGACGGGAGTCCTCGGGGCACCGCTGCATGTAGAAGGATTTAATCTCAGCAGGAAATCGACACAGCAAGATTGGTTCATTAATAGCATCAGTCATCTGTCTCTCTGGAGCTTCTGGGATATCCTGTGGTTGAAAAATGCAGCAATTAATTTCTCCTTCTGCCTAGAACTGTTCCACTTCCACTGATTACGCTACTTTCTATCTCTGGAGTCACATCTTTTGAACTACCCTAAAGCCTTACTTCACTTATTGGTGCTATATATATATTTTTTTTTTTTTTATTGAAATTTTTCAAAAGTTTTACAAATAAAAATCCACCCCCCCCTCCCCAACCACCCCACCCCCCCCCGACTTCCCAGAACTGAATATAGGATTATTTAACAAATATTTTAAAAATAACATATGCAATTTATAAAATAATTAATAATAATAATAAAAATCACAATAATAATATATATAATAATAATATAGATAACATAAACTTTAAAATGAATAATATATACTAAAAAAGAAAAAAAATAAAAAATAAAAAATAAAAAGAGAAAAGAGAGAGAAAGAAGAAAGAAGAAAGTAGACGAAGAATAAAGCATATATATATATAAAAAAAAAAATATATGAATAATAATACATAAAAAATGTATATATATAAAAATGAAAAAGAAGAAAGAAAGAAAGAAAAAACAATCATTACAAATTATAAAAAGGCTAAATAATATTTTTCCATATCCAATTTATGTTGTATAAAATTTATCCATTTTTCCCATACCGCAAAAAAATTTTCTTGAGATTGCTCCTTTAAGAAAGCCGAAATCTTTGCCATTTCTGCCAACTACGAAACTTTATGAAACCATTCTTGTAAAGTAGGCAAAGATTCCTTCTTCCAATATTGTCCTATTAACAACCTAGCGGCTGTAATCAAATTTAACATCAATATAAACTCCTTAGCATCACAGTCAATAACAATACCTAGTAAAAATAATTGCGGAGTAAATTTTACCCTCCTTTTAAAAATTCTTTGAATATTCCACCCTATCTTAATCCAAAAAGCTTTTATATGCTTACACGTCCACCAAATATGGTAATAGGTAGCATCCAAATATCCACATCTACAGCATTTCGGCTGTAGATTAGGTTACATAATGGACATTTTCTTTGGGTCAAGGTGCCATCTATAAAACATCTTATAAAAATTCTCTCTTAAATTTTGCGCTTGTGTGAATTTAACATTTCTTATCCAAATAAGTTCCCAAGTATCCATTGAAATCGTTTCACCAATAATCTGTGCCCATTTAATCATACAATCTTTAACTAGTTCAAGTTCTGAATCTAATTCCACTAAAACCCCATAAACTCTCTTAATATGGGTTGGCCTTTGATCTCTTACTTGTTTTAAAAAAATTTCATCGTCTCTAAGCCAGCCCATTTTACAATCCATCTTCCATCTATCCACTATTTGTCTATATTGGAACCATGAATAAGTTAAGTTTTCATGTGTTAATTCTTCCAAAGATTTTAACTGCCAGTCTTGGCCATCCCATCTTAATAACTGTACGTAAGAGACCTTGTCCATAGTTACCCCTTTCCTTATACCTTCTATGGCATGCCGAGGTATAGCCCATAATGGTATTTTGAAGTCACTTTTATAATACTTTCTCCACACTCTTAGCAAAGAGTTTCTTATAATATGAGACTTAAAAACCCAATCTACTTTTTTATTAAATATTAAATAGGCATGCCATCCAAAAAATAGGTCCCAGCCTTCCAAATGAAGTATTTCTGTATTTGTTAAATTCACCCAGTCGCTAATCAATGTCAATACTACAGCATCATAATACAATTTCATATTTGGTACCTTGAGTCCACCTCTCTCACGAAAATCTTGCATTATTTTAAGTTTCACCCTTGGTTTTTTTCCCTGCCCAAACAAATTTATTAATACCTTTTTGCCATTCATCTAAATTACGTTCATTCTTTAAGATAGGTAACATTTGAAACAAAAAAATAAACTTTGGCAGGACATTCATTTTAATAACTGCAATTCTGCCCATAAGGGATAACTGTAAATTATTCCATTTTTTTAAATCCTTCTGTACCTCCATCCACAGCTTTTCATAATTATTTTTATACAATTTTACATTAGAAGCAGATAATGTAACCCCCAAATATTTTACCTTATCAACAATTTCAAAGTCTGTTAAGTTCACTAAAGCCTGTTTATCACCATTAGTCATGTTTTTAGCTAATATTTTGGTCTTATTATTATTAATTTTAAAGCCAGAAACACGTCCATATTGTTGAATCAATTGTAATAATTTCACCACCGAAGAAACAGGTTGAGACAAAGTACCAACCAAGTCATCTGCAAAGGCTCTTAATTTATATTCTTTTTTATTAATTTCTATTCCTTTTATTTCTTGAGACTCCCTAATTTTAATCAACAAAATTTCCAGTGTTAAAACAAACAATAACGGAGACAACGGGCATCCCTGTCTTGTTCCTTTTTCTATTACAAAAGCCTCTGACAACCCCCCATTTACAATAATTTGAGCAGTCTGTTTTTGATATATATTGGATAATACTTGTAATATATTTTGTCCAAAATTCATCTCCTTGATTAAACACAGCATAAACTGCCAATTCACTTGGTCAATGGCTTTTTCAGCATCCAAAAATATCAAGCCTGCAGAGACTTGGTTATTCTTTTCTAAATACTCTAATAAATTAATAATTTGTCTAACGGTATTCTTCATATACCTTCCAGTTATAAAACCCGATTGATCCCTATGTATAAACTGCTGCAAGATCCCCATAAGCCTGTTAGCTAAAATTTTTGCAAAAATTTTATAATCCACATTTAAAAGAGATATAGGCCTATAATTTTAAGGCAAAGTAAGATCTTGACTATCTTTTGGAATCAATGATATAAATGCATTACGCCAGGATGGAGGGATCTCTAACCCCTGTAATAAATTATTAAACAGTTCACACAACGGTTGAGTCATCTCTTCTACTAAAGCTTTATAATAAATAGATGTCAACCCATCCGTACCCGTCGCTTTGCCCAATTTCAATTGTTTAATAGCTGTAACAATTTCTTCCTTAGTAATTAAACCGTTAATCTTTTTTTCCTGATCTTCTGTTTATTTAGGAAAGTTAACTTTGCCTAAATAATTATTTATATCTGTAATTTGAATATTAGTACCCTTATATAATTTTTGATAGTATTCTAAAAAAGATTTCTTAATCAATTCTTTCTGATAAACCAATTTACCATGATAATTTATTTTATCTATATTCCTCTGTTTCTGTTTTTTTCTTAACTGATAAGCCAACCATCTCCCTGGTTTATTAGCATTACAAAATGTATTTTGTTTCATAAATAGCAAATTAGTTGCAGCTTGATCAGCCATCAGCATGTTAAATTGTGTTTTTAGCAATTTTAAAGCTCCTTTAACCTTTTCATCTAAGGGATTTGAAATTAAAAGTTTCTCTTTTAATTTAATCTCCTCTTCCAAGTCTATCCGTTTCTGAGTCTGTTTCTGTCTATGCAAATTATTCATTTTTATCAAAATACCACGCATAAAAGCTTTACTTGCATCCCAGACCATTGACATTGATGTTCCCTTGTTCATATTTAAAGTAAAATATTCCTTTAAACATTCCTTTAATTTATGAACATTTTTTTCTTGTTTAAATAAATTCTCATTCACCCTCCAGGATCTCCTATCTTCCTTCTCTACAAACAGTTCCATCCCAACTGGACTATGATCGGACAATGTCCTAGGAAAAATTTTTACATTCTTCACCCTGTTGTATAAATCTGTTGTGATCAAAAAGAAATCAATTCTTGAGAAAGATTGGTGTCTATCTGAGAAAACGTAAAATCCTTTTCTTCTTGATTACGTTCACGCCAATAGTCTCTCAATTCCCAATCTTCTTTCATATCAAAAAAGGCTTTAGGTAATTTAGCCTGTTTAAAAAAGGTAGAAGAGCCTTTTTTGTCCATTTGTATATCTAAGACACCATTCCAGTATCCCATTAAAATCACAGATCTATAGTCCAACAAAGTTATTTTCTGATGTAGTAACCTATAAAATTGCTCCTGTTGCTGGTTTGGTGAATACAACCCCACAATAAGAATTTTCTTGCCATATAAACCAAGTTCAAGCATAACATATCTTCCGTAAGGGTCTGATTCTAACAAGGTAGCGGATAAATTCTGTTTAACATAGATTACCACACCCCCTTTCTTCCCCGGGGCGGGAGATACAAAATGAGATCCCAAGCGAGGATTATTTAAATATTTTTGATCTTTAGCTGTAATATGAGTTTCTTGCAAGCAAATACTATCATTGTTATGTTGTTTCAAATAGTGGTAAATTTTTTTTCTCTTTTGAGGAATGTTTAATCCATTAACATTCCAGGACAGGAGCTTTGCCATCTCCCTTGGCCTTCAGCCTGGAGAGGATCCGCTCAAATTCTGCTGCTGATGAATATGTAGCAGAGCTTTTGGGTCTTGCTCCTCCCACCGGCACTGAAGCAATTTGCTGAGTAGATTCTTCAATTTCTTTTTCTTTTTTCTGTTGTTCTTTTTCTTTACGTTTATGTGATGCACGGGTCATTCTCTGTTCTTTAACCTCTGGTTGAGACATCCATACCACCTGTCCAGCAGTCATCATCCCTGTACCTTCAGATTTCTGTTCCATCTCTTTGTCACTCAAAACTTTATGCATCATGGGCAAAGGAGAGCCTGCTCCCAGGACCGTTTTATAAAATTCCTTAGCTTTAGCAACTGTATTAAGTCTATAACGTGTCCCCGCATGGCTCAAAACAATGCCCATCGGAATCTCCCATCTAAATGGCAGTTGTCTTGCTTTAAGTTCATTTGCTAAAAAAGCAAAATCTTTTCTGCTTCTTAAAATTTTAGGTGGAATTTCCTTTAAAATAATAATATCTTGGGCAGCAATCTTAAATCTTTTATTATAAAAAGTTTGTAGAATCTGATTTCGCAAAGACTTCTTAGCAAAATATATCACCACATCTCTAGGCAAATTCCTCTGTTTTGCAATCCAAGAATTAACTCTATAAATTCTTTCCACATCCCCACGTACCTCTTCTTTATCAATATTCAAAATAACAGCCAAGTCATTAATCACCATTTCCATCAAATCTTGAGTTTTATCTTCTTTCAGACCCCTTATTCTCAAAGCATATTCCATCTGTCTATACTGAAACATAAGAATATCATCTTGTGAAGTCTCCACTTTTTTCTCCATATCTTGAAATTTATAATCCAAAAGTTCAACTGTTTCTTCAATTTCCTCTACTCTGGAGTCCAGCTTCACAACCACTGAGGCCATTCCATATAGAGCTAGAAGTATATCATCCCTCAAAATAGCATTATTCTGTTCTAAAAGCTCCTTCATTTCTTTCTTCATTTCCTCCTTAGTTTCAGATTTATTCTGGTCCAAAAGTTGTTTCATGTCCTCCCTAAACTGTGAGACAGCACTTACCATTATTTCTTTAATGTCTTGTGCTGATGTGCCAGATGGGGGAGGTGAAGGTGGAGTAGATTTAGGTTGCTGCACTGAGGGTATTATTTTAAGTTGTTGTTGCACAGTAGAAGTAGCAGGAGAAGAAGTTACTTTATAAGCTGCAGTAGCTGGTTGTCGTTTTGAAGCCATTTTAATTTATCTTCCTTTCTTCTTAAAAATACCGATAAAAATAAGTAATCCAAAAAAAAAATTAAAAATAAGATAAAATAAAATAAAATAAGATCAATCTAAAAGTCCCCAAGAATAAAAAAGTAAAAAAAAGTAAAAAAAAAGCAGTATTAAACAACAATTCAGCCGATCCGTCTTTTAAAGGAAAAAAAACTTTCAAAACGCCATTTTACTTTCACTCTCACTTTTCCGCCCGAAAAAAAGAGAAAGCTTAAAAAAATAAAAAAAAATCAGCATATACTAAATAAACTAAATAAACTAAAAAAAAATAAAATGAAGCTAAACTATAAATAAAATCCTTTAAACAGTTCTGTCCGGTTTAAGATTACTCACGGTTTCTTTCAGTACGGAGATGGTAGCGGCGTCTCGCTTTGTTTCCGAAGAAACAAAGACAGCTGAGAGGCGGAGAAGGCAATGAACTCCGAGGGAAACCTCTTTCTACCCCCCTAAAAATAAAAATCCAGGGAGAGTTAAGAGGTTCTACCTCTATTCATGCGATCTCTGCCCCTTCCCTTCGCCCGGGAAGGGGATTGCGAGCCGCGGGCCAGCTGGTAAACGCTGTGCTCCGCGGATCTGACACCTTCTCAGGAGGACGGCTACAAAGTAGCCGCCATCTCCACTGCTTTAACCACCGGAAGTCCATTGGTGCTATATATTAGCAGCCAGAATTGGGAACCATCCAGTGGTCAGATCAAAACAGAGGTCACAGAGGAAGTGTTGCTTGTCCAATGTACACAACCTGAGCAAATCCTTCAAGGAGTTGGACCAAGCCCTCCAGAAGACATGGCTGTTTCAATCTTTTGAGGAAAACTTTACAGATAGTTATCAAATTAACATCTTTTAATGGTAGTTTGAAGTTACAATGATACTGGTCCTCATGCTTATGACTGTTGCAGCATTCTGCAATCAAGAGATTGCCATTTGCGATCTTCCCATCTGGCTTCTATCAAGCAAAGTAAATGGGGAAATAGGCAGGGAAGGACACAAATCAGTCATTTTGTTGCTGTTGTTAATAGCAAAGTCGTGTCCGACCCATCGCGACCCCATGCACAACGTTCCTCCAGGTCTTCCTGTCCTCTACCATCTTCTGGAGTCCATTTAAGTTCACACCTACTGCTTCAGTGACTCCATCCAGCCACCTCATTCTCTGTCCCGTTCTTCTATTGCCCTCAATCTTTCCCAGCATTAGGCCCTTCTCCAGTGAGTCCTTCCTTCTCATTAGGTGGCCAAAGTATTTGAGTTTCAACCTCAGGATCTGGCCTTCTAAAGAGCAGTCAGGGTTGATCTCCTCTAGGACTGACCGGTTTGATCGCCTTGCAGTCCAGGGCACTCGCAGGAGTCTTCTCCAGCACCAGAGTTCAAAGGCCTCCATTCTTTGGCGCTCAGCCTTTCTTATGGTCCATCTTTCACAGCCATACATTGCAACTGGGAAAACCATGGCCTGGACTATACACACTTTTGTTGGCAGGGTGATGTCTCTGCTTTTTAGTATGCTGTCTAGATTTGCCATAGCTTTCCTCCGCAGGACCAAAGCTATGGCAAATCTAGACAGCATATGTCATATCAGTCATATGTCTCGCTTAATGACTGGCAAAAAAGTCATAAAATTGGGTGCTGTTGCATGATGTCTCATTTAATAACCAGACTGCGCACAATGAATTTTCCGATCTTATTGTGGATGCAGCCACTGAATATAACTTTTTCCTATACCTTCTGAATGTACATCAGATGTTTGACCGAATGAAGAGGTCTTTGGAAAATTTGAATACCAGATAAGCTTTTATAGTATTTAAATCAACCTGGCCCAGTATAATTATGGTTTTAAGGGTCATAGATAATCAATTGAATTCTCCTGGAGATCCGCATGCCCTTATGATTAGCTTCACACATTAAATTAAGAAAGGCCTTCCTGGACTATTTCTACTGAATAAACTACCATTGGCTAAGCTGACATAAGCTGCCAAGCCATACATTGTGGTCTATAAATCACAATCTGTTTACAGGATACGTGAAGCGAAACCCAAACAAACCATGTTATGGCTTTGGACAATGTGCCACCAGATCCACAACCAACCTTCAATCTGGGACAAGAATGCAAACCTCATGAGGAACACCCACCCAGTCACTTTTGGGGGATAATTTCCTGTAAGCAGAACAACAGAGTTGGAAGGGACCTTGGAGGTCTTCTAGTCCAGCCCCCTGCTCAGGCAAGAAACCCTATATCATTTCAGACAAAAAGCTAAGATGGACCCCTGCATAAGAAGGAATGACTATACTTTTTGTTTCTCTTATTGCCTCCCCCCCGACAGATACTCTAGTCTGATACTCTAATTCTCTTATCTGTCCACATCCTTTCCCACCCAGAAAGGGACAGATATCTGAATTTATTTATTTTAACCTTTTATATATATACAATTCAACCTATTTTCTTCACAACAATAACCCTGGGAGGTGAGCCAAGCCGAAAGAGGCCCAAAGTCACCCAGCTGGTCTTTTATGCCTAAAGTGGGACTAGAACTCACAGTCACCTGGTGATTGGCCCAAAGTCACCCAGCCATCTTTCATGCCTAAGGCGTGACTAGAACTCAGTCTCCTGCTTCCTAGGCCAGCGCCTTGACCGATATACCAAACAGCTCTGTTTGACATTTGGTGTGTGTATGGGGGGAGGGGGTTTCCAGCTTTTTTCACCACCAGGAAAAAGACTGCAAACTAGACTGGAAGTCAGAAAAAGTCCATGCAGAAGGTAATGGTAAGCCACCTTCATAACCGACAAAATCACTATAGGGACCTAGTCTGAGAAACAGGCCAAAGAGGCAAGTAAATAAAACAGCACGAAGTCAAAAGGAAGACAGCTAAAAAAACAATTACTGTACTTTCCGGCGTATAAGACGACTTTCTAAAGCGTTGAAATCGGCGCCGAAGTTGGGGGTCGTCTTATACGCCGAGTTGTCTTATATGCCGGAAATTACGGTAGTTTCCGGCGTATAAGACGACGTTCTAGGCATGCAACTCGGCGCCGAAGTCGGGGGTCGTCTTATACGCCGGGTTGCCTTATACGCCGGAAAATACGGTAGTTGGAGAATAACATTTAAGAAAAGGGAGAGTACACAAACTGATTAACTTGATTGCTGGGCTTTTTGAAATTAGGACAACAGCCACAATTTGCTGGTCAGCTTGATGTCCAATAACTTGATAATTTTAAGGAAGTGGAAATTTTTGATTGCTTTCAAGTGGTTGGTTTTTTTTTTTTACTTCCCGGTCTACACTGGTGCTCTCCAGTCTAAGCTAATCCAAACCATCCAAGATCAGCTAAATCAGCGGTTCTCAACCTATGGGTCGCGACCCCATTTGGGGTCGAACGACCATTTTACGGGGGTCGCCAAACAACGCGATCTGCCATTTTCCCCCCTCAGGGGGCGCCGTCGCGCATGTGCGGCGCGTCCGTGTGACGGGGGTCGCCGTCACACAAAGGTTGAGAACCGCTGAGCTAAATGCTGCTGCCCAGTTGGGCCAAATGTTTGTTTTTTTTAAAAAAAAATACAAGAGAAGACACGGATGCTTGTCAGAAGCTTACATCTCCAAACTCGTAGTAGGTGTCATCTTCCTTTTTCACCTCATGTTCCTTGAGCCATATCAGGGCTTCCGTGTAGTTCATCTGCTTGAAGGGGCGCTTGGGAGGCTCAAAGTTCTGCAATTACAGGTGAAAGATGCACTGGTAAAGATGGCAAGGCTTTAAAAACTACATCCGTTGGGTGGCTTAATTTTATTATCCTCTTTGGGTCACATCTAACTTGAAACTGCCAGACATTTTGACCACTAGTGAATCAAAACATCTCAACTTAAGACAGGTCACTTAGTGACCATTTGAAGCTAGGATGGATCCTCCAAAAGCTACTTAATGACCTGGTTCCAGTCTCCTTCCCCCGCCCCCGTGATCACATGACTGCATTTCAGTTGTTTGAAAACTGGCCAACATTTATGGCTGTTTGCAGTGCCTTGTGTTTACATGACTGCAAATTATGTTCCCCCCTCCCCCCCCCAGAAATCAGCATTTACTTCTGGGGTCTGAAATAAAAAACCCACACCATAACAAACACTTATCGACCTTTGTAAAAAAGATAAAATCGGGTCCAATCACATGCTGACCCGTTTTACAACCTTCACAACTTATGGCTGTTAATTGCAGGGCTCAATTATGGTCCTAACTCAAGGACTACTTGTAGAAATGAGCCTTTAAAAACATTTCATATATTTATGCCTCCCTCTCTCTTCATTTCTATGGCCACCCTTGTGCCATATTCTGGATTATTTAAGAGAGAGATTCTGCAACAAGAAACTTGTATTTTTGTCTCAGCCACTTACCGGATTAAGGGCGTACACTAAATCAGAGACTGGGGATTTAAGGACTCTATCTACCACATCACAGACGAGATCTTCCAAACGGTTGAGCAGGTCTTCATAGCTCATGAAAGGACACTCAGCTTCAATGTGAGTGTATCTGGAAGAAGAAATCAGTGTCTTCATGAGAAAAAGCTGGGAACCACCATGAAATTCCTCATCCCCTTCTGGTATGACCAGGACCACTGAATGCACCTTTGCAAACATACCTGGAGAAACCACTATTCCACTCAGACTGGGACTGGATTATGTGTCTGCACACATCAGTTAACCGTTTTGGGGAGAGTGGCAGAATGAAAGGATGGGAGGGAGAAGGATATCTATCTATCTGTATCTATCTATATCTATCTGTCTCTCTATGTCTATCCATCTACCTATCTATCCATCTACCTACCTACCTATCCATCTACCTATCCATCTATCCATCCATCTAGCTAGCTCTACCTATCTCCATACCGCTCTATCTACTATCTACTGCAGTATATCTATCTGTCCGTCCATCCATCTATCCATCCATCCATCCGCCACTCATCTCATTCAATGACTCTGGGCAGCTTGCAATTCCAAAAATATACCACAGTTAAAAATACTAAAAACAGTTTAAAATAGTGAAAACAATAAAAACTCTTTAAAAATATACATAGGAGCAAGACAACTGACTGTTAGCAATATGGCTAGGAAATCGGGCTCTTAACACTTTCAGTGCCCCAAGCTCAGGACACAGCCAGGTTTTTAGGGCCTTACGAAAGGCTTACAGGGTTGGGACCGTTCTGATCTCCGAATGGAGGGGGCCGCTGTGGAAAAAGCCTGTCTTCCGGTCCCAGCCAGCCATTATTCTGGATGATGGGATCTGCAGCATGCCCATTCTGCTTGATCTAGTTAAATCTCTCCTATTATCCCAATTCGTCTTCTGATATGATCTTGTGATTGTTAATTTAATCTCCAACTCTTGTTGTTTTTTTGGCATCCCCTGCATTATTCCCAATGCTTCCTCTAAGCAACCAATCCAGATGTTTAGCAAGTGGACACTTGCTTTAGTGCTTTGCGTGGAGAACAGGAAGGAAAGATGCAATGAAAAGTAAACAAGGGAGAGAGAGAGAGAGAGAAAAGAATGTTGGGAAGAAAAACAAAATAAGTAGCTTCCCCTGACTTTGAGCTTCAGCCCTACCACCCGACACACAGATCTCACGGATTAACATAAAAGAACAGAGTTGGAAAGGACCTTTTAAGCCTCCAGTGGACAGCCATTTGTCTGAAATTGTATAGGGTCTCCTGCTTGAACAGGGGGTTGGACTCGAAGACCTTAAAAGCCTCCAGTGATGGGAGCACCCACAACTTCTGAAGGCAAGCCATTCCACTGGTTGATTGTTTTCGCCATTAAGAAATTTCTCCTTAGTTTTAGGTTGCTTCTCTCCTTGTTCCATTAATCCCAATGGAAAACAGTCCACTCCAAAACAGTCTATGAGTTGATTCTCCACACATCTTAGAAGTTGCTAAGGCTGAGAAAAAGTGAAATAGGCACTTACTCGGAGAGGTGCCTACGTGTCCTCGACTGTTCTGCTCGGTAGGACTGGGCAATGCAGAAAGTGTCTCCCAAGGCTGGGATGCAAGTCTCCAAATATAGCTGGGATGACTGTGTCAGATACGCTTCCTCGCCAAAATAATCCATTTTAAAGAGGGTTGATCCTCCTTCTACCTGCGTTTGAACCAAGGTTGGTGGGGTGATCTAAAGATAAAAGAAGACATTGTCCAGAACACTGAATTTATTCCCAGGAATTCCATTTGGCATAGAGTTCAAGATAGAAAAGCTGCACCTGTTGGGCATTTTATCAACAACAACAACAAAAAACAAATACAGGTAGTCCTTGACTTACAACCGTTCATTTAGTGACCATTTGAAATTGCAATGGCATTGAAAAAAAAGGGACTTAGGACTATTTTTCACACTTATGACCTTGCAGCATCCCCCAGGGTCACGTGTTCAATGTTCAGATGCTTGGCAATTGACTCATATTTATGACGATTGCGGTGTCCCGGGGTTACATGATCCCCCATTAGTGATCTTCTGTCAAGCAAAGTCAGTGGGGAAGCCAGATTCATTTAACAGTTGTGTGATTCACTTAACAACTGTGGCAAAAAAGGTCATAAAATGGGGCAAAACTCACTTAACAACTTGTGGGGCTCACTTGTGGGCTCACGTGATCGAAAGTTAAGGACTATCTGTAGCTAGAAACTTTCTTAAAAGGTGGGGGCAGCAGAGAAGAGAAAAAAATTCTTGGTGGCCAGAAAAATTAACAAAAATATTGTGGCATAAAGTTTTGTAAAGAGGACTGAGAGCAAAAAATATAGTGTAAAATTACGTCTGCAGCCAAAATTCTCGTGATAATTTATAGGGGTTAAACAAAATAAGGTTCAGGTCATATTTAATTTAGGTGGAGTATGATTTAAAATTAAAAAGCATTACAACTGAGGACAGGATAGAGAATCTTTGCAGCCCTGGATCAATTAAAAACAAACAACAGAGTCTCCCAAGTTGGATAATATATTTGATTGTTTCAGAGAAGCAAAACCTGTATTTGTACAGTTAAAACAGCATCTTTCCATTTCTTTCTATACTAAGGAGAATTAAGGGCTACAATGAGGCTGATGAAACCAGCAATTACCTATGATTGAAGAGCAAAGGCTACCAAAAACACCACTTATTTTGAATTTCATGATTTGTATATGATTGATGTGTATATTCATTATAAATAACTATACTTTGGATGCTATTTATGGCTTACATAGTCCTTGACTTATGACCAGTCCCTTAGTGACCATTTGATTATGACGGACTCCCCAAAAGGTTCTTACAACCCATTTCCAATGTTCCAATAGCTCCCTCCCAGCAGTCACATGACCACATTTCAAGCAAGCAGCAACAAGTTTGCATATACAATCATTTGCAGCATCCCATGGTCATATAATCGCAGTGTCAACGCTGCTAACATTGGATGTTCTTGCTTTGACAAAATATGCCGAGGTAGCCACTCTCTGTATAAGCTATGTGGTATTTTTAGAGTTAAATTAGATGATGCTGGGAGGGGAGGAGAAAGAAGTCTGTGGGGATTAGTTAAGAAAACCTTGGGCTACAGAACAGAAGGGAAACCTTCCCTTCAAACTGATTGGAAAACAGTGATTTATGACAGCAAATTAGGGGAGGGAAATATGCTAGCATAATATGTGCTCAGGGGAGGGGAATTCAGATCTTGGCATCCTCCATGCTGTGCTGACACTTTGTTACATGATTAAAGACTTTTTAGGATAAACAATGCCTGTAAGTTCTTTGAAGTGTTTCATTAATCAGCTTTTTGCCGAATGGTTTCAAACATGGCCCATAGCAAACAATGGGTTTGCTTAATGACCGCAATGTTGACTTAACGATTGCTACCAAAAAGGTCATAAAATCATGTCAGTCGAGGCGGGCCCCACTACAGTCGTAAGTCAAGGACAATCTGTATAGATCTAATGTTAATTCTTCTGCAAAATTGGAGATTAGGATGGATGTTTCCTTGATTCTGAACAGGGAAGATTTGTACTTCTCCCTCGACTCAGGAATTCTGAGAGTTGTAGTCCACAAGTCATAAAGGGGCCATGGTTCCCCAACCCTGCTCTAGAGTATCTTGGCATGATGCTCTCATCAGCTTGCAAACTTCTTTTACTACACGGAGTAATATAAGAAACCAAGGATTTTTGGCTTAAGAGAAACAAAGCAAGAGGCATACTTACTTCATAATATCCGCGGTCAAAGAAGTGGTCTCGGAAGCACTGGATGATGGTGGAGCGCACCTTCAAGATTCTGCTCAGGGTTTCCCCCCGGATCATCATGTGCCGGTTGTTGAGCTGCACATCTACATCTGATTCTTCATTGACCAGGTTATCAGCTCCTCCAGCTGGAGCCAGACCAATGAGTTCCCAGTAGTCACAATTGAGCTCGTGGCCTCCTGGAGCCTATGGGAGTTTCATATTTTTAAAGACAGAAGACACGACAACAATAACACTCGCTTAGCACTGTCTGAAACTCACTGCTGTTAGAAAGACATATTAGCAATTATCTCATTGAAACAAAGGAGACAGTCACTGACTTCTCTATTCTGGAATGACCGGTACCGGGCCACGGCATGCCAGCAATGAGATTATATCTGCGGGATGCAGGCAGCATACAAAACCATGCCCCTTCCGATCCGTGGAAAAATCTCTCTACACGTAACCGGTCCCTGGTGCCCAAAAGGTTGGGGACCTCTGGATCAGAGGATTTCATAGACCATTGAAGTTTTTATATGTACAATCAGTGTAACTTTAAAGGGAAAACCTGTAAACAGAAAATCAAACCAGCCCAATGAAAACTGAATAAACTCCTTGACAAGAGAAAGAAAATGAGAGCCAACTGACTTTTACTGAAAGCTAAAACAGCCCTTCCCATTAGATCAGGGTTTGAGTTCACATATCATACTAAGCTGTAACACGACTTGGTTTATTTGGACTTAGTATGTTGCCTGAACCCCATGATATTACCTCATAAAACATGGTTTGCAACTTACTGCAATGGACAAACCTGGCAAATTGTGGCTTATTCAAAAACCAATATTATGCAAGGCAGGGCTCAGCACCATTTGCAAATCTGGCTGTTCTCTGAAACCAAGATAACTTAGATATATTGCTGGAATATTGGCAAAAGTTTGATCTCCACGTTACTAAATAAGTCATTCTGTCAGCAAGAGAAAATTCCACTGAGTTTAAGTTATACGTGGGCAAAACTCCAAAAGGTGAATATTTCCTGGGCATTAAAAAAATCCACTCAAAAGGTCAGCATGTTCAGAAAGTCTAAAGTCCTCATTTTCTGACCTGACACACTGGTTTGCACATTCCTATTGTTCAGTGATTCAATATAGAAGAAAGAAGAAACAAACACCCTGCCTTTTTGGCAGGCGACGTTCAAGCAAACATAAGGTTCTTAAAAAAAAAGTAAAATGTGCTTACCTGCTTGCCTTCAGGAACCAGGGTGAGGGTGCCATATATAGCAACAGTGCTCTCAGTTGAAAGGACCACACCATTGTAACATTGACACTACAGGGAGAAATAAAGGAATGTTTAAGACTGTGTCACCTGAGGTTTAAAAAAGAATTGCTTTGTGCCTTCTAGTCAGTCTTGACTCCTGGCAATTGCTTAGACAAGCATTTTTAGTTTTCTTGGCAACATTTTCGGAAGTTGTTTGCCATTGTTCCTTCCTAAGGCTGAGAGAAAATGACTGGCCTAAGGGCACCCAGATGGTTTTGTGCCTAAGCAGGACTAGAACTCACAATTTCTTGACTTCTAACCCAGTGTTTCCCAAACTTGACAATTTTAAGGCATGTGGACTTCAACTCCCAGAATTCCACAGCCAGCAATGCTGGCTGTGGAATTCTGGGAGTTGAAGTCCACATGCCTTAAAATTGTCAAGTTTGGGAAACACTGTTCTAACCTGATGCCTTAACCACTACACCAAACTGGTTCTTAAAAGTAATAATAATAATCAGGAGGAAACCTGTTTTCTCATTCATTTTAATGGATTCAGTCACACCACATGTAACAATATTTGTCAGCCACTCTGGTCACCAATTAGGAAGGAGGGAAATAGTAAACAGAATCTCTTATGGGAATGCAAATGTATACAGAACGGATATAATATTTTTAGGTTGAAGACCAAAGAAATCAAGATAAAAATGAGAAGAAATGATTCTAATCATATAAGGAGCAATCAGGTTAAATGTAATATAATGTGATGGCTCCTCGTGTGTTTAGGATCTTTTCTGTTCTTTCACACTGAAAACTACAATTTTGGAGACAAATCTGGAAGGGTGCTTGGTGTATACCCAAAGCTCTTGAGGAAGGGATGAAATGTTGCCCAGAAAATAAGGTAATTTGATGTAAGAGAAGAAACACTGAATAAAGCTAAAAGCATTAGCAGAAAACTGGAACATTGTGGAATCTCCCTTCTGGGAGAAAATAAAAGCTGTGAGAAGATAAAAAGTTGGAAGGATGGGTCAGGCTTCACTAATAAAAGACAGCCTCTTAGATCTAACATCTTAGATCTAACCCCCCAGGCTATGCCCCTTATCTCAAAAAGGCCAACAAGATGTTATCACTTCAACCATGCTATTTAGTGATATCCTCCCTATAACCATGGAGGTTTTCCACAGCTATTTAACACAGCACTGAAAAGATGCTGTGCGTTCAGAAAACTTTCCCTCCTTTCTTTCACCATGGGCTGACTTTCAAACTGATTTTAGGACTGCTGGAATAAAATTAACAAGGGTATGAAATTTTGATGTGCTTCAGACGGGGCTTAAAAGGGAACTTACCAATTCATCTGACAAGACACACTGAAGGAAACCTGTGCCATCTCTTAAGACAATAAACATCAAGTTTTTCCCTGTATAACAAGAGAAAGAATATAAATTGTATAATCATTTAGTTCCTATTTTAATGAAAAATTGTTTCCCTTCCCACCCATCATTTCAAAACTCGTTCTACTAAGAGCCTTCAGAGGTAGAAGCCAAAAGAAAATCTGTTGGCATCCTAAGAACTAGTCTAGGGGGTTAAAAACTTTAATGGGTGGTAGACACAATGGAATTTTTGACAGAAGTTTGGTGAGGCATGTTAGAGTTAGAGGCCAAAACATATTACAATGAAACTCAAACTGGCTTATTGGCACCATTGGAGGCAAAGTTAGTCTTGACAAGGAGAGCCTCTTTATAAATATATACAAATTACAACTATACATGTAATTAGATTTAGGAGCAAGGTGTGTCTGATCACAGTGGATATAAAGAGCAAGTATTGACTAGATATAACTCATTATGTTCCTAGAGCAGAGGTAGGCAACCTTGGCTCTTTTATGACTTGTGGACTTCAACTCCCAGAATTCCTAAGCCAGCCATGCTGAGGGGAAAGATAGAGGTTTCCAAGCTGAGCCATGCTGGCTAAGGAATTCTGGGAGTTGAAGTCCACAAGTCATAAAAGAGCCAAGGTTGCCTACCTCTGCTCTAGGAACATAATGAGTTAGGGTGTAAATATGAGGCAGTGGGACAGGGCTATAAAACTGAGGTTCAGAAAGAATAATGAGGCAGTTATTCCATGGATATTGTTTCTAGGAATTTACTTCCTACTGTTTTCACAGACCTCTGATCACCTCTCAGTACCTTTTCCCAGCTTAACATTCACCCCTTGATCTTCTAGATCACTATTTCTCAACACCCCCTCAGAATATCCATGCTGGCTGAGGAATTCTGCGTGCGTTGAAGTCCATAAATCATAAAGTTGCTGAGATTGAGAATCACCATTATATAGTAGTCCTCACTTATTGACTGCAATTGTCATGGTGGGCTCTGATTTGGAGAAGACTTATTACAAGCAGACAGAGCCAGCTCCAGAAAGGCTGATAGACAATGATCAACCAGCTCCAGCACCACCAGACGGACTGCCATCTAAGCAGGCAGGCCAGGCCAGTAATCAGCAAACCCAGCTGCTATTGCTCTCTGACGATGAGGGCCTAGATTTACCGCCCCATCCTAACAAAGCGCTTGGCGGGCTGCAAAGAGAGTAGAGCACAGACACTCTGCAAGACTACTGATGCAGAAGGAGTTCTGCTCCATTAAATTACCTACACCAGGTCTGCTTCTATTAAAACAGAGCAACAACCGTTTTGCTTGATAACAACCACTTATTAACTCCCACTCCATGTCTCTTGACTTGTGAAACTCACACCTCTGACTTTGAGCCCGAAACGGCTAATGATCTATCTACAAACTCCAATCTTCAAACTCCACCTGCCTACTCTTCTATGTGCCATTTTGATTTGGAACTCTTGTATGCCAAACTTGCTAAACCTCTTGGGGGGGGGCAGGGGGTGATGGAGATTGTCTCTATACTGCAAGTCTGTATTTGCAAGCCTCATTTAGCAAAGAGGGGAAAAAAACTTCTCTTTGCAAGGATAGCAACTGCGCCCCGCAACTCCATTGCTAAGCAATGTGATCATCAATTGCAACATCACACAACCACCCCAACTTATGACAATTCTAGCTGTGGCTGTGAAGCAATTTACTCAGTCAGTAAATCTACTATCATGTGACTGCAACTTTCTCCCAGCTTCCCCATTGGCTTTGCTTGTTGGAAGTCAGCTGTGAAGGTCACAAATTGCGATCATGTGACCACAGGATGCTGCATCCGTCATAAGTGCGTGCCGATGGCCACTTGCCCTAATCACAATTATATGGTTGTGGGGACACTACAATGGATGGAACTCCAAAGACTGGTCCTAAGTCTCTTGTTTCAGTGTCATCGTAACTTCAAATAGTTGCTGAACAAACGATCGGTAAGTGAGGACTACATATAGATGCTTATGACTGAATGGATTAGTTTCTTTGAGAAAGTTGTATTTCTTGCCATATGGCTGAGTAGACAATTTACCCTCATCAATTCATCTCCAATTTATATTCCATCATGCATGCAACCCATAGGACAGCTGATAGGGGCAAACGTCACTTTCCTAGTTGGGAGTGACACTTGCGAGCATCAAAACATTCAGAGCTTCTGGAAAAACCCTTCCCCCGTGCAAGATGGTACTCACCCTGCCGACGCAATCGATGGACCCAACCAAACACCTTTACTCTCTCTCCTCTGTAGGGTTCCAGGGCACAAATCTTCACCTGTAAAAAGACAGGTAATATAATATATAAAGATACAGGCTGCCAATTCAGAATCCAGAAGACATCAGAATCTTCTAAGATGCAGTCAGAATCTGGTGCTACTGATGTTCTCCTAGCCAGAGGTTATTCAACCCCCATCCAAAGCTTAGGATGCTGAGGCTCCAACTGTTACTTGCCCTAAACAGGAATCAGCTAACTTCTCTCATTAATTACACAAACTAACTATACAGGCAGGAACAACAACAGCCATATTAGTCATTAGTAACATGCATGCAAAAATCCCCATTGCTATGGAAATCCATTTTGGGTTTGGGTTAGGGTTAGCCCTCCCCCCCTAAAATCATTGAGAAAAATCAATGTGACAACATAGTTCAGAGAGGTGTACTATAGTTAGGCTGATGTGTATATTACCCTCAGATATCTTCTTTATAATGGAGATATGGGCTTCCCTGTGCAAATCAAGCTGATTTGCATCAGGGAATTTCTGCAGTTCAACTGGAACCTCTTCTGATAGACCTGCATATCCCTCTCATAAAGTTACAGGAAAAAAAAAATCAGTCCGCAAGCATACTACCAAACTTTCACTCTATCTCTTTATTGGTTTACCACTCTATCACTGGCCTTCATCAAAAAAAGACTGCAGCCACCCGCTATACACATACACACACATATACTTTATGCCTGTGCTCCAGATCTGGAAAAAAAATGGCTAAGCTAGTAAATGGACTTTCTAAATCTAAGATCAGTTTGGCAGCTTCTATGAAGGCACATAGCCAAAATGATGCAGAAAAGACTGCACAACAGGAATTTGACAATTACAATTTTCTGAGTCAATGCGCACAAGATCCCTTCTGATCATCCAGCCATGCCATCAAGGCTAGATCCTGTTATTTCTAGGGAATAAACACAGGGTAGATTTTAATCTGCACTGAGTAACTGCCAGCATGTCAGCTCAGAATCTGCAAACAGGGACATCCACGAAGGGAAAACTAAAAAATGAGACAAGATGGCGGCTGCATTTAAAAAAGATGGAGTTTCAACTGCAGTTTTGAATTTTTAAATGTCCTCCCTGGGGTGGGCACTCTGATCTGAAAGGATATTGCTTTCCACTTGAGGATATTTTCAATATAGCTGGATTTTCACCTTCACAAAGAGCTACAGAGCTAGAAATATATAGTATAGTGTCTTCCCAAGTCAGATACAATCTCAACACCTCAACTACCCTAGACATCTGGAGAGTGCCAGAAGATCAGAGGCTGTTTAATATTCCGTTTCTTGCAAAATTCTCCCAACATCCCACTATCTGGCTGGGAATTCTGGAAGTTACAATTCCAAAATTTGCTGGGGAAAACTTGACCATGGTTCTCTTAAGTCAATACAGAATTACATTGCTCTTCTTTCACCTCTCCCATTGGAAAAATTTGGTGTAGACCACCAGGATGTAGACCACCAGGATAGATCTGGAATTTGGGGTGGGTATTGTCAATACTCATAAAATGGGCAAGACAGGAGATATGCTAAAGGACACAGCCAACCATAAACCTTCCATTTAAAAGTCAAAATTAGTTCTTACAAACACTCTTTCCCACCATAATGTGACCCCAGAGAAATTCTGCAACATGAATGATGCCAGAGGCTAGCATTTGGTTATTCTTTGAAGAAGATGGCAGTTTAGAAATGTGAGATATAAACAAATAAATAAATTTAAAGTATAAATGAGAGTCTGATGGGGTAGGGAGGAATATGGAGGCAGACCGGGCCTGCAGATACCATGTTATCTATCCCTGTGCCATCAAGTTAATTTCCACATACATAAACATACCATTTTCCCCAACATGTTGCAAGTTCACAATGTACTTTGTTTTCCTGAGGATGTTACTCACACATTTGGGCTCCGGGAGACTAAGGTCTTTCTTAATGATAATTTTCTTTGCTTCCTCCAAATTCTTTTCACGTCGCAATAAATCTTCTGCCTATAGATTAGGTTTGGGGATTTGATTAGAAAAAAGTTAACCTAAAGGTTTGGGGCATATCACCTATGATATGTGACTTATCCTGATGTAAGAACAAAACCAATGTAACTTTACTCAAACAAAACATTCTTTATGGGTGCCATTTCGATATCTGGACTTCGATTCCCAGGATTCTGTAATAGCCATCTCACCAGAGAATCCTGGGAGCTGACAGTGCCAAGCGCGGGAAGGCTAGCTTAGCCTGAAATGTAACTTCAGCCATAGCAAGCTGGTTCTCACATTATTATAACCCATAATGTATGATTTGCACCTTACTGTAAGCAACAAATCCCATTATTGCTTCATTTTATGCCTGAACAAGCAACTTGCCAAATATTTCTCTAAAAGTTTAATGAATAAGTGACATTTAAACCTAACACTGAATGTGTTACAATTTATTACACCATGATGATTCTTGACAATTGCTTCCCTTTGAATGGTTATACTTAAGAGAACTCTGATGTAATTGTCAAGAGCTTTGAAGACAAAAGGTCCAAAATAAATAGATAAACTGGACTAACAATCTGGATGGTGACGGCACTCCAGAAGGACTATACAGAATACAAATCCACTTGGATTAGAAACAGCACTGGTTTGGAATACTGATTTATGCAAGGATCAGACGACTGGGTTCAGTATTCATATTAGATTATGGATTGCTTACCTTGCTTAAGACAGGAGTCTCCAAACTTGGCAACTTGTGAACTTCAACTCCCAGAATTCCTGAGCCAACCACGCTGACTGGGGAATTCTGGGAGCTGAAATCCACAAGACTTAAAGCTGCCAACTTTGAATATCCTTGGCTTAAGGCAATGCTTCAACCCAGCTGATACTTTGCAGGAACTCCTTTGGTTTAAGGTGGCATGAAAATCTGTGAATTTGGGGACCAACCTATAATGATTCGCTCCCATATCACTCAATGCCACAAAAGATTTAAATTAATTTAAATCTCTCTCTCGTCTCTCATTTGCTTCAAAAAACAAATTAAAAGACCATTTTAGAAGAACACTTTCATTCTTGAGCATTTCAGAAGATAGACATTCTAGTTGCCAACTTACCTCTTTCTTTTCTCTGGCTTCATTCTTCTGCTGCTCTCTCTGCCACAGCTTTTTCACATTCTTGAGTTGGCTTTTGGAGATAGTTTCCCATTTCTAGGTAGATCAAAAGAAAAATTAGAGTCACGTGGCTGATTTTTGATCCAGACAAGAAAAATCTTAAGCCACCATCCCATTTCCAACTTTGACAAGGAATCCCTTTTAGCTGTTGCTTCAGAAAAACTGGTCTTCAGCTGAAACCGAAATATGAACATTGATTCAGCCATCATTCATCTTATTTACTGCCAAGACAATAAGTGTCATTCCTTAGGTCAGTGTTTCTCAACCTTGGCAACTTGAAGATGTGTGAACTTCAATTCCCAGAAACTCCAGCTAGCACGGCTGGCTGAGGAATTCTGGGAGTTGAAATCCACTCATCTTTAAGTTGCCAAGGATGAATAACACTACTTTATGTAACCACTGATGAACAGAGAGGTGTCAGAGGTAGAGAGTTGCCATCATTGTCACTATCATCATTCCAAATTCCTGGCTCCTATGGGCAAACTACTGAAATAAACGATAATTAACACCAAGGACCAGACTTGTCCTCCTTGACCATCTTAGTTTTATTTAAGCTGAAACTTGGAATGGTTATGGTTTTGCTGAACTGGGGCTAAGCCAAATGGATTAGGATTGAATTCCAGGAATGCACTCCTAATTTGCATATACCAGTAACTATAAGACACAGCACAAGTTCCAAGGTCCAATCTTTGGTTATTGGTGACCTCCAATTATTTGCAAATGTACCAACCGTCCCCCATTAAAATGAAATACTAATGAGTTGCATGGTCAACAGAATAGAGGAAAATTTGGGGAAGAGATAAGAAAATGAAAAGTGCAAGAGAGCCTATCCCAAGAAAACAATAGCCGCATCCCACCCTTCAACATGATTTAGCAAGACTCAGTTTTAATAATTAAAATAGTTTTTCCGTGAGTTTATTTAAGACCCCAATTTTAAAACCATCTAAGCTGAGATCACAATTACATCTGGTGAATTTCAAAAACTAGCGAGGCATTTAGGCTTGCTAATTTCTGCACTGCTCACCAGTATTTTAGGTGCATCTGGAAAAGATGATAATGATTTGTTTAACCAACCTGGTTTTCTTTTTGTGAGTCCACATAGATAGTAGGAAATGGTTCCTTTCCAGTAGACATCAATGCCTTTGAAATAATAAAAAAGGACAATTAATTAATGAATGGGTTATTTTTAACTGCTAAAGGGTTACAGATTTTCCTTGTTAATAGATAAAATGTATTTTAGTAACTTTAAAAAAAAGTCCTAAATTTTGAATTACCAAAAGATGAATCATTTGTACCTAGCAAACTACTTAGATCAGAGGTCCCCAACTCCCGGTCTGTGCATCGGCACTGGGCTGCGGCCACGCAAACAAGCAAAGCCCCATCCAGGGGATGCAGGCACCACACGAAACCACGTGCCCTCCAGTCCACGGAAAAACCTCTCCCCACAGAACTAAAAGGTTGGTGGCCTTTGACTTAGATGCTTCAGAAATACTCAAACATACCTGCAAAGCTGTTTTGAAAGGTTTCTCCTGTGTCCCATCACCAGTGCTGTCACATCCTTCTCGATCAGATACATAAACCTCTCCTGCAAAAAATACAAACAGAATTGTTCTTTGCTAAACATAAAGTACACACAAACACACACACCCAGACAGCATGCGTTCCTCAGTCCCTGAAGGAAAATGATGATTTGCACTTAATAAGACTCCCATCTGATCTTTCAGATTTCAGGTGTGCCAAAGCAACAAGTAATCTATTAAACTTCCCTAGATCAAGGAATTTAAACTTTATCACCTATAGTATCAGCAGGCCTTTTCAATGGGGTAACTGTAAGTTCCAACAGCACTTAAGGATGTTCTGGCTTAAGTAGTCTGTCCATCTGACACCAATGGATTCAAAGCTTTGCACATTCAAACAATGAAAGATCCATGAAGGCCATTAGGTCCTATAATTTCCTAGGTATAGGAATCCAATTTAAGACATTTCCATGGAGAGTGTTCAGCCACTATTCAAAAACTTGATCAAAAGAGAAACTCACCACCTCTCTGATTACCTGATTCCAATGTCAAATTGCTCATTTGCTTTTTCTAGCTTAAAAAAAAGATAATCAAGATCACATGAAGTATTAATAATTTACAATGCCTTGATAAGGCCACATTTGGAATACTGCATCCAGTTTTGGTCACCACGATGTAAAAAAGATGTTGAGAATCTATAAAGAGTACAGAATTGGGTATTTCTAGTTTAATGAAGAGAAGGACGAGGGGGGACATGATAGCAGTGTTCCAATATCTCAGGGGCTGCCACAAAGAAGAGGGAGTCAAGCTATTTTCCAAGGCGCCTGAAGGCAGGACAAGAAGCAGTGGGTGGAACCTAATTAAAGAGAGAAGCAACCTAGAACTAGGAGAAACTTCCTGACAGTTAGAACAATTAACCAGTGGAACAACCTGCCTCCAGAAGCGGTGAATGCTCCAACACTGGAAGTTTTTAAGCAGAGACTGGACAGCCATTTGTCTGAAATGGTATAGGGTTTCCTGCCTGAGCAGGGGGTTGGACTAGATGACCTCCAAGGTCCCTTCCAACTTTATTATTATATTTCTCCTGTGCAGTTGGGTGTTAATCTAAGGCAGCGGTTCTCAACCTATGGGTCGCGACCCCATTTGGAGTCGATCGACCATTTCACGGGGGTCGCCAAGCAAGGCTGTCGCCATTTTTTCCCCCTTATCTGGTGGGTGCCTTACCTCCCTTGGGCTGGCCCAGCTGGTGGTCGGCCTGCTCCATCTCTGCCGCTTGCCAGCTACGCCTCGCCCGGCGCAGGGGGTGGCACCATGCATGCGCAGCGCTCCCGGGCAGGGAAAGTCCTTGTCTTACAAACGGTTGGTAGTCCTCGACTTACAACTGGTTTAATCCTCGACTTACGACCGGTTGGGGGTCGTGGCATTAAAAAGGTTGAGAACCACTGATCTAAGGGGTAGTTGCTCATCTCTATTTCTTAGCCGAGGGAGCCAATATTGTCTGAAGATACTTCCGTGGTCATGTGGCCTACATCAAGGTGCATGGAATGCTGTTATCTTCCCACTGAAGTGGTACCTATTCATCAAGCTTTCACTCTGCTAAGTGGGCAGCAACTGGAGCAAGAATGGGAACTCACACCTTCGTGTGGCACTCTGGTCTTGAACAGCCAACCTTCTGGTTGATAAGCCCAGGGTCTTAACTGCTAGGCCACCATGCCCCTTTATTTTTTAACATAAACTGGGATCTAATTCCCTGCAATTTAAGACCATTTTTGTTGCTTTTGGGGGGAGAATGATAGATGATTTATGGGATCAAGATCTCCTGATCTTCTTCTATGTATGTTCATTTTAAGTACTTGAAAAATACTATCATATCCCCCTCTTAAAGCTGAACATCAAATCTCTGATTATAAAACTACGTTTTTTTGTCTGCGAACATCCCAGGTGGAAGCGCAGCCATAGGAGAATGTCCTGAACATTATATGTATTCTCCACACAGGAGGGGCAAATAAAGCCAACAGGCTACAGGTGTTCAGCAGCGTCCTTTATGTTCCTTCTTTCCCAGAATCAATGTAGAAGATCACTGATTCCAAGGAAGGCAGGTGCATAAGAATTTCTAAGAAAATCCATCCATTAGAAATGAATTCTCTGGATCTATGAAGTTTGTTGTTAAAATGTGGCTGTTGTAGTTCATCTCTCATGCTTTCCCTTTGGGGCTTTATTAAATGTAATGTTTAAAAATATCTTTATAAGGAAGCAAGGATTCTCATGCTTCTTTGAGATCCCTTCAGATGGCAACTCATCTTGGTTCAGCCAAACACTAGCAGGTATGATTAGTGCTTGATGGAAGAATACCATGAAATTTCAAAGCTGTTGGTTAGGCTGAGATTCAAAAAACACAACAGCAGAAGGCAACAGGATAGGAAAAATGTAAGGCGGTTGTCTAGCGTGGGAGAAATGTGGCTTGAAATAGTACATGTGAAAGGGCTCTAGATGTCACAATGATGCAGCTAAGAAAGCAAATATGGTCTTGGAGTACCTTAATAGGAGCCGAGAATCCAGATTATTGAAAGTAATTCTTCCACTCTACTCTGCCCTGGTCAACCCTATTTGGAGAATTATGTCCAGTTTGGGGCACCATCATTCAAAAAGGATAGTGACAAACTGAAGCAAGCTCTGAGAAGGATTATCAAGATGAAGTGCAGTAAGCCCTCAAACTCTATGAGTAGTAACTATTGTTCAAACTCTTTAAAGAATAGTCGAAGGATCTGGGTATATTTGGCCTAGAGACCTGGCCCATAGAATTGCCAAGAGTTGGACAGGACTGAATGGATATCATCATCATCACATCTGGCCTACAAAAGGCATAATTGAAGAGAGGTACGAGAGTTGTCTTCCAATGTCACATAAAAGGGGGAGAAGAAGGAGGGCCAACAATGTAAGGAAGGCAGTCAAGAGAAACTTTCTAACTATTGCATCAACCAACTGTCCTTCTCGGAAAGTCATCTGCCAGAAATCCTATAGTGGACCTGCACCCAGAGGGAGATTTGGATTAAATGAGTTCTAAGAGCCTTCCATTTTGTCTCCTAAAGCAATGACACATCATAAACGCAAGGAATCAGCTAATAATAAAACCTATTGTAAAGCACCTGCCTAACTCAGACAGAATGGATTCCAGATTCAGTTTCCTTTCCCACAATCAGGAAATTCCACCGAAGACGGAATACGAAGCAACACCACGGGGCTAATGAATGAATGGCCTGTTTTGCGCTGCTTCCCGAATTGGGGAACCAGAAGGGAAAAGGCGGCAGAGCAGATGCCCCCCCATCCCACATTTCTCCTCGGATCGTCCTTTGCAACGCCCGTTTTTCGCCCATCAAGAGATCCAGCGGGGAATCCTTGCAAAAGCGGGGAAAGAAGCAAGAGGCCGGACCCAGGTGGCAGCCACGGAGGCTTCCCGCTCCTTCCTCTCGCGTTTATCCCCAGCGTGGAAAAGAAGCGGCCGTGGGGCGCGTTCCCGGTCTGGCTGGGAACGCTGACACTTATATAAAGGTTTTCCTTTCGCTTCCCGGTTCTCCCGCTTTGCATTTGCTCCGGGGTCGGTTCCGGGTGCCCTAAGCATCGAGGGGACGGCCAGGCCTCTTCCTCCCTCTTCGGCCGCTCCTTGCAAACTCACCCAGGCTCAGCCTGTCCGTTTTCTCCAGGATGATCTCCGACATAGTGGCTTTGGGAAAGGGTCTCCCGGAAGGCTGGGCGCGGCTGACCCGGCAGCTCGTTTCTCGCTCAGCTCTGCAGTTCTGACGCCGACTGGCAAGCCGATTGCATCAGGCTGTCGTGGCCAGCCCTGCCGCAAAGCAAGCCCGCCCCTTCCACCCACCGGCGCTCATTGGGAAAGGAAGCGTCGTCAGAAGGGGGGGGGGACTGGGCCGAAGAGCCGGTTTCCTTCGCGGAGGTGCGCCTTCTGCTGCTGGTTGCTCCCTGGGGAAAAGGAGATTAAACCAAGCGGCTTGCCTCGGGTGGAAAACTGAAGAGATCTGGAACTTACAACAACGGGAGATGCGGAACCCTCCCGTTGTTGTAAGAATCAGTGCAGCCCAAACTGAGAACCATGTTAGAAGAGCCCTATTGGGCCTTCTATATCAGTGGTTCTTAATCTGGGCGATATCGCCCCCCAGGGGGTGATTTCGTTTTTCAGGGGGGTGATGGAACAAAAAGGGGCGACGTGGGGGCAAAGGAACGTAAAGGGGGTGATATGGGGGCTGCGGAGCAAGACGTTTTGGGGACACAGATTTTTTTCATACAGTGAATCGCTGTATATTTGTCATACAAAAAAATCAGATCGCTTGCTATTAGTGGATTGAATTGTGTTTTCAAATGTTCCTCCAGCTAGCTTCAGTACAGAACGCCGTACACATGTGAATAGGCATTGCTTATCTTCATGCGCATTGCGCAGTCGCCTCTACCCTTTTTATATTTCTTTTTGTGTCTTAAATTTTACTTGTAATTCAATCATTAAATATTACTGTTTTTCTTTTTGGGCATTTCACTTTCTTGCAATTGAATTTTGTTTTCAGTGGTCATTACATTTAAGTGTCTTGAATAAATAAGATAATAATGAAATACATGTATCAAGAAGTTTGGGAATAAAGTGATGGGTGGCACCAAAATTTTTCACGCAGTTGAGATATGGGGAAAAGGCTGGAAATAAATTATTTGCATCGATATGTCCTGATGACAATTTTAAAGAAAATAAAACAAGTGTTTGCATAAATTGAAGAATTATTTCCTATGTTGTGATTGAGAGGTTATGTTGGGGGAAGGGGGCGATGACAACTTCCTCATTGGCTCAAAGGGGCGATTCGTTCAAAAAGGTTAAGAACCACTGTTCTATATATATGCTACAAAGGAGACCTGGATGCATAAGGGACGCGCACAACTCAGATTGGAGGGCTGCACCCCTGCCTCTTTTTGCTCCACAGCTAGTTGTGCGAACCAGAATCCAGGGGATAATAAACAGCCATCCCTACTAGTAGTCACACTCTCCACCAACCTGCCCAGATTGCTTTTTAAAGTGGCCAGATTGGCAACATATTTCATTGTTTTAAGTGTGTTCAGTGAGGAAATTGGGGGAAGGAGGGGGGGCTTAAGCTTCCCTCTCCGACATTTGCCACCAATTTGTTTGGATAGTCACAAGATCTGATAAAGTCAACAAGTTACATGCAGGTTTTTGTTTTTTGTTTTTAAATTACATTGATTAAATTTAAAATCTGCATGATGTTTTAACTTCATGTCTATTACAGTTACAAAAGTGCTTTTCTCTTGTATAAACAATAAAATCCCACCATTTCTTATCTTATTTTACCTTCATTCCACTGAGATATCTAGATATTTTAATGTTTTATAGCAATAATTAATTTGGCTACTAACAGGAGAAATGCTAAATTTACTTTGTTTGGTCTATCACATGCAATAAGCCTAACTGGAGAAAATTCACTCTTCAGTTTTGTAATATACCACATCACAACCTCTCTGTTTTCTTAAAACTTTCTTAAAGCCATGCTTCTTCCAGAGGATAGGAATTCCAAAAGGCTTTTTGGACCTAAAACATACGATGAACCTTTGCAGGAACTGGGTATGTCTAGTCCAATGATGGCGAACCTTTTAGAGACTTGAGTGCCCAAACTACAACCCAAAACCCACTTATTTATCACAAAGTGCCAGGACCACATCAGCGTGGTGCCCTCAGGGGGGGCATGGGGGTGTGGCCCACTGGGTGGGCATGGCTGCGATTGTCACGGCAGGCTGGGTGAGCATGGCTGGGGTAGGCAGGGCTACCTTGATTTTGCTCATGGGGGGATGCCTGTGGGGGCCGGGCAGAGTTGGGGGAGATCCAGGGGGTCTCTGACAGGTGGGGTGGTGGGCAGGAGGCCCAGCATAGATGGGGGGAGGCACGCAATCCTAGCTGGGACTGGGGGGCCATTGTGCCGATGGGGATCCAGCTTTCCCTGCTCGGGGTGGCCTTTGGCTTGCTGGGTGTGGGCGTGCTCTACCACCTCTACTCAAGCTTGCTAGCTGGCCGCTTCGCCTCCTTTGTGCTGGGTAGGGCTGCTGCTCTAGGTGGCGGCCTAATGGACCTGCGCAAGCCGCTGGCAGCGGCGGCATGGGTGCCCATAGAGAGGGCTCTGAGTGCCACCTCTGGCACACATGCCATAGGTTCGCTACCTCTGGTCTAGTCTAACAAAGAGAAGGACTAGGGACGAACATGATAGTAGTCTTCCAATATTTGAGGGGCTGTCACAAAGAGGAGGTCAACCTATTCTCCAAAGTACCTGAGGGTAAGACAAGTAAGGGATGGAAATTATCAAAGAGAGATCCAAACTAGAATTGTTCTCACTGATAGAACAATTCATCAATACAATGGCTTGCCTCTAGAAGTTGTAGGCATTCCACCATGGAGGTTTTAAAGAAGAGATTGGACAGCCAGCCATTCCATTGTGTAGAATGAGAATTTTCTTGATCACTGTTTCAACTGAAAGAGGATTTTCTTCCCCTTCGAGTTGAACCAAGAGAATAGGGGGTTTGGATGATTCCTCTTTTACTGCCCCCAATTTCATACGAATCAGCAAATGTTACATGTGTGCACACATACAACACCAAGGACACTTTAATAGAAACATTCAGAGCAATGAAAATACTTTTTTTGACACCAGATAAAAACATTAAAAAGTAAGGCACTTTACTTATATATACATAAGGCTTTAAGAAATAAAATATTTACATTTTATAATTGAGATGTATACAATCAATGTATTAAAGTTGCAAATATTGCACTTAGATTAGAAGTCTGAAAGATAAAGATGAACCTCTTCCTCATTTTTGAATAGAGAAATCAATTTTTGAATCAAAATAATATCTGCTGTCATTTACTGAAAAGCTGTAAACTTTTCAACAGTCAATAGTAATAATGAAGGAATGTACCAAGTCCGTGTTCCTAAGAGACGAGCTCCATTCACCCACCTACACAAATGTGGGGAACAGTTGTGAATATCAAAACAGGATCATTTGGTGCATGCTGAGAGTATTGAAATGTAAACCATTTTTAAGTCCCAACACAATGAAATGTGTAGGTGAATACATTTTTTAAAAAAACATATTTTACTATTTAAAAAAATCATACAATAGATTCATCATAAATACAAATTATTCTTGCTCCAGGTAGTGCTTCAAACCATGCTTCTCATTCCCACGAAGAAGACGCGTCACTCCCTCTAGTGAAGACCCGTTTGATTATGAACTTTCTCCGCCCAAATGTCTGAACATTATTAAAAGCATGCAGCCCTGATCGACCAGTACTTGTTGAATAGTGCATTATGCTCTTTCTTTCATAGATTTCATCAGGTATATAACATGGGAGCAATTTTTGATTTGTGATAAACCTTCACCCATCTCTTTTTGCCACATAAGCGTGATGAAATTGGCATTGTCATCTTCAAGCATAATGCTGCTCCAATATTCACACAAATCATTCCAACATAAAAGACAATGCTATATAAGAATCGCCTCCTGTTGTTTAATGACTAGATTGCCATTTCCCTTGACTAAGAACAACCGAAGGATGAAATCTACCAACATATCCAAGAGGAAACTCTCCACTGATTGAATTTCTCTTATTTCTCAACCAATGCAAATAACACAGTAAGATTTGTACTGAAGGTAAAAAGGCTGGGTATAAAATACAATATCAGAAAGGCATATTAATTCTTGCTGCTACAGAGCTGCTACACATTTAGAGAGGGGAGAGCCCTAGAATGCCCAGAGTGAAAATATATAACAAGCTATTGTTTTCCTGAAGGAACCTCTGGCCTTTGATTATGCACTTGAAAGCTGTTGAGCTTTCTCTGCCAAAATGTCAGAACATTATTAAAAGCATGCAGCCCTGATCGACCAATACAACTTTTGTTGGATAGTGCATTATGCTCTAAATGCTTGTAACATAAAAATGAACAGTTAGTTGAAAAAAAATCATTCTTAGGCTGCCAAAGAAGAATGATACGATGGTAGAATAAATTAACGGAATGAAATGGCACTCAGAATTGTGTTTCCGGGGCATGGTTTGTCTTTGGTGCTGAGGCATAAAATCTGTCGGAATTGTTTTTCTTTTTTTAAAAAAATACTAAATACTATTTTTTAAAAAAAAACTTAAAATTGTTGGACTTGAAGCCCAAGGCATAAGGATATCCTTCAGTTTCAAACAGAAGCAATGTTTATGCAAGGATGGAGAATTAAAAATACTCTGCCATTCAGACTGTCCAATTTTAGTCCCAAATAAAGTAATTGGAAAAAAAATAATAATTAGACTCCCTTCATAACCTTGCACAGTTTTTTCCAAAAAAGAAAAAGAATCTATTGTCCTTTGTAAAAATAAAAAATAAAACTTTTTGTGCTATCCTTCCTCTACTTTCTGTGGGATTGGGGAGTCATCAACTGTTTTCTTCAGCTCGCCTAATTTCAGCCAAATTGCTGCCCAGAACTGCCGTTAGGGATGCTCGTCTTCGACGCATGATCCTCCCAGAAGCGATGAGGTCAGCATAACCTCGCTGATGGGAGAAGGCGTACGCAGAACGACGGCCAGTTACCCCGCGACGGAAGACACTCTGCCTTCGCTTCCACTTCTCCTCTTCGACCTTGTACTTTTTGCGATTCTTCCGAATCTTTAAAAGAGACAATTGTAGAACAGATTAAGAGGTAGAACTAGCAGTAGCAGCTATTAGAGATCTAACTTCTAAGTTTCCTAGGATTTTGGGAGCATTAGCAATGTTTTTTTTAAAATAATTTATTTATTTTCTATAACCAATTGT